ATAAGGTGCACGGTTCCGAGTTGGATCACTACGAGGAGCAGGAGAGAGAGTGGAAGGCGAGGGAAGAAGCAAAGATCGACATAAAGGAGGAGATTAAAAAGGCAATGAAAAAGTTGCAATGCATTTCGGACGTCGCCGGATTGAGCTATGCAGAACTGTGTATCCACCCAGACTTGAACCTTCCTGAAGGGTTCAAAATCCCAAAGTTTGATACCTTCGGAGGGGTAGGCAACCCCATGGCGTATTTGAGAGAGTACTGCGACCAGCTCGTGGGAGTTGGCAAAGATGAGGCTTTACTGATGAGGTTGTTCAGCCAAAGTCTATGCAGTGAGGCCCTGGAATGGTTCACGTCACACGAAACCAGGCAGTGGCCCAGTTGGAGCGCGCTAGCTAAAGACTTCATTGATCGATTCGTGTACAATGTCGAGATAGTCCCTGATCGATATTCCTTAGAGAAAATGAAGCTGAAATCGACAGAAAACTATCAGGAATTTGCCTACAAATGGATAAAGGAAGCATCGAGGGTGAGGCCTGAAATGACTGAAAAGGAGATTGTAGAAGTGTTCGTACTGGTGCAAGAGGCCGAATAGTATGACAGAATTATTTTGTTAATCAGAGCCAAATTCGCCGAGATAGTCAAAGTTTGTGAGACTATCGAAGACGGCCTGAAGTCGGGGAAGATAGCCCGAGTATCCGCATAGCCTGGATCTTCCAAACTGATGAGGAAGAAGAGAGAGGTGCCATTGTTTCATACAGGGGAAGAAAAATCCCAAGAAACTCATCGCGTCCTCAAGACCGCTCCAAGCCTCCACCAAAGTCTCACCAAGCCTATCGTCCACAATCCAATCATTCCAACAACTACAATGCTGCCCCCACTTATCCAGATGCCCAAATTTTGTCGTATCAAAATCCACCCCCAAATCTCCAAAATATTCCCTCCATGTATCCAACTTACCCCCAATCTTATCAAATTCCACCCCCTTATCAGAATGTCGCTCCCAGCTGCGCTAACGTACAGTCAATATATCGAGCACCTTCCCCCACATATCAAGTCCAAATTACCAGACAAATCCCTACCCTAGAACCCAAGCTCCTCGCCCAAATGCTCGTAATTATCAACAGGTTCCTCCCCCTCAACAAAGCGGGTATGATCCTTCTCGTGCCGCATTTGAGAAAAGGCCTTCGAGAAACATTACCGCATTGGCTGAAAGCCGGACCAAGCTGTTCGAAAGACTATCCGCGGCCGGATACATCCACCATGTAGGGACCAAGCCCGTGGATGTCAACTCTAAGTTCTACAACCGGAGTAGAGATGTGCTTATCATTCCATCAAAGTTGGACATGATACAGAAGACTGTATCAATCTTAATCACACGATCCAGGATCTGATTGACCAAGAAGTGGTCTCCCTCCAGCCTGCGGCACCGAACGTTATTACAAATCCGTTGCTGAATCATGGGGGTGGAAACATTAATATGATAGAGACGGACGAAGACGAGTGTGGAGTCAAGAGGATTACTCCTATTGCGCAGGAAGACTTGGAAAAGGCTGTCGCTTCTTTAAGCGTCAAGGAAAAAGGAGAGTTCGTTATTCTGACACCTATGAAGGTTGTTGCCTCGGTGCCCTCAAAAACTCTCGCCAAACCCAAGTTTGTCATAGAAACGGTCGTGGCCCAAGGCATGACTAGGTCTGGAAGATGCTACACTCCTAATGAGATTACTCTCGGAGGACAAAAGAAAGACCATGCCAAGAGACCAATAAGTGAAGCAGAAGCCAAGGAGTTCTGGAGGAGAATGCAACCTAAATATTACTCCATTGTCAAACACTTGGAGAAGACTCTGGCCCAGATCTCTGTGTGGGCCCTACTGATGAGCTCCTTGTCCCACAGACAAGCTTTGATTAAAGCTCTGGATGACACGTATGTGCCCTCAGGTACAAGCAGCGATAACGTAGCTGCCATGATTCATCAAGTCATTCGGGGACACCGCATCAGCTTCTGCGACGATGAATTGCCAGCCGAAGGGAGATCCCATAACAAAGCTCTACACGTACTGTGATATGCCGCGGAAAGGTCGTCAATCATGTTTTGGTAGATGATGGATCTGGTTTAAACATATGTCCCTTGTCAACATTGAAACAGCTGAGGTTTCACCTCGGAAAATTGGAGCAAAACCAGGTTAATATAAGAGCGTTTGATGGTGTGCAAAAAGATATATTAGGGGCGGTGAACTTGACCCTCCAAATGGGCCCCGTGGAGTTCAACGCGAAATTCCAAGTGTTGGATATCGATACCAGCTATAACCTTCTTCTGGGAAAGTCGTTCAGTCACATAGCCGAAGCTGTCCCCTCCACTCTCCATCAAATGATGAAGTTGGTATGGAAAAATGAGGAGCTAGTTGTGCACGGTGAAAGAATCCAATCAGGCAAGCAGGTGCCGATCTTTGACGAGACGCCGCAAGGTTCAGATTTTTAGATGGTGGACTTGGTAAATGCCACCGATGAGGATTTGTCCCCGAAGACTCCCATGCCAACTGTGTACAGAATGATCGCCACGGTAATGCTGCAAAATGGGTTCGAGCCAGGTTTTGGATTGGAAGAGATTCCCAAAGGATCATTGAACCTGTTCCGGTCCTCGCTAAAGGATTCAAATATGGTTTGGTGTACATCCCCACAGATGACGATGTGAAGATGAAGAAGAAAAAGGATAAAGAGTTAGCAAAACCGATCCCGCATCTGTATCAATCCTTTCCAATCCGGGAGTATGCCGAGCATGAAGACTCAGGGGAAGGAATCTGTGATCTTTTCAAGGAGATCAATGCTATCACTGAGGAGGAGGTCGAGCCAACTAGTATTCGTGATGCTGAACCAGGGGAGATGCTGCAGAATTGGACTTCCACGCCAATCCTGATGTCCCAAACTCTTTGGTAGAAAGGCGTTATTTTATGCATACTAAAATCGGTGGTTGTCCGGAAGAGGGCCGAGACCCACCATTTACGCATTTTTATTAATTGTTCGAATTTTGAATCTTCGTTGTGATGTTTAAAAAGCCACATGGCCCTATGCCATGACCAAAGTTTGCATTTTTTGTTTTAAATTAAAGCCTCCTTATTTTAAACTTTGTTTATTTAGTTGCTTGTTATACTTTACTTTCCTAATTTTGTCTGTTTATGATTTCAGTAATATAAGTTACAGACCCGCCAATGTCATGTCATGTCATGAGCTAAATGAACCAAATGAGACAGATGACGACAAGGTTGATGACTATGAAGAAGAAAATGGGGAACCAGATTATGTTGCAGAAGAATTCTGACAGTTCGAGAATCACCATAAACCGAATCTAGAGGAGACAGAAATAGTGAATTTGGGAGATTCAGAATGTGTCAAAGATGTTAAGATCAGCACCTACCTGAATGGAACTCAGAAGGAGAGCCTGATTCATTTGCTTACCGAATACAGAGATGTGTTTGTTTGGGAAGTGGGTGACATGCAAGGGTTGAGTACTGATGTCGTATCTGATAAGTTACCTATCAACCAAGGGGTTCGAGGGTGAAATAAAAGACTCGAAAATTCAAGCCTGAACTGAGTTTGAAGATTAAGGAAGAAATCACCAAGCAAATAAAGTCTCGATTGGTAGAAGTAACGCAATATCCAACCTGGTTGGCCAATGTCATTCCGGTTGCCAAGAAGGACGGGAAAATCAGGATTTGTGTTGATTATAGAGATCTCAACAAGGCTAGTCCGAAAGATAATTTTCCGTTACCGAATATCCATATTTTGATTGACAATTGTGCAAAACATGAGATGCAGTCATTTGTGGACTGTTATGCAGGTTATCACAAAATTTTGATGGATGAAGAAGACGCGAAAAAATGGCATTCATTACACCTTGGGGTGTATATCAGTACAGGGTGATGCCGTTCGGCCTCAAGAACGCCGGTGCCACTTACATGAGAGCCATGTACTATTTTCCATGATATGATTCATAAGGAAATTGAAGTGTACATGGACGACGTCATAATCAAATCCTGCGAGAGTTTAGATCATTTACACACCTGAGAAAATTCTTTGAACGTTTGCGTCGGTACAACCTAAATTTAAATCCCGCCAAATGCGCTTTTGAAGTCCCAGCTGGGAAGTTGTTGGGATTTATAGTTAGCAGAAGGGGTATTGATCTTGACCCTTCCAAGATTAAAGCAATTTAAGAGTTACCTCCACTGAAAACGAGAAAAGAGATGATGAATTTCTCTATATCAGCCGGTTTATAGAACAATCAACAGTAGTATGTGAGCCTATTTTCAAGTTGCTGAAGAAAGATGCCCCGACTAAGTGGACTGAGGAGTGCCAAACTGCTTTCGATGCTATCAAGAGTTATTTGTCTAATCCACCGGTATTGGTTCCTCCGCGAGAAGGTAGTCCTTTGTTGCTTTATTTGTGTGTCTCAGATAGTGCCTTCGGATATGTACTTGGCCAACACCACGAGACAGGAAAGAAGGAAAGGCTATCTACTACATAAGCAAGAAATTTACTCCGTACGAGTCCGATAAACTTTGCTGGAGAGAACTTGTTATGCTCTAACGTGGCTTACCTCGAAATTGAGACATTATTTGTCTTCGTATTCTATATATCTCATTTCCTGAATGGATCCATTGAATTACATTTTCCAGAAAGCGATACCGAGTGGAAAGTTAGCTAAATGGCAAATGTTGTTGAGTGAGTTCGATATCGTGTATGTGAATTAGAAGGCAATAAAGGCACAAGCTTTGGCTGATCATCATGCAGAAAATCCCGTGGATGAAGAATATGAACCACTGAAGACGTATTTTCACGATGAGGAAGTGTAATTTGTGGGTAAAGATATCTCTGAAGCGTATCAAGGTTGGAGATTATTCTTTGACGGAGCGGCGAATCACCAAGGTTAAGGTATTGGAGCAGTCTTAGTATCAGAATCTGGTCATCACTATCCTATGGCCGCTAAACTATGATTCAATTGCACGAACAATATGACTGAATACGAATCTTGTATTCTTGGTTTGAAAATGGCCATTGACATCAATGTTTACGAGTTATTGGTTATTGGAGACTCAGACCTTTTGATTTATCAGGTTCAAGGTGAATGGGCCGTGAAGAACCCGAAAATTATACCTTACGTACAGTATGTGCAAAATTTGTGTAAAGTGTTTCGCAAGATCGAGTTCAGACATACTCCCAGAATACAGAATGAATTAACCGACACTTTTGCCACCATCGCTTCGATGATCAAACATCCCGATACTGATTACATTGACTCGCTGGATATAGAGTTGAAGGAACACCCAGTCCATTGTTCACTCGTCGAATCGGAACCAGATGGTTTGCCTTGGTATTTTGATATAAAGAGGTACTTGGAGTCTGGGACATATCCAGAAGACGCTACATCTAATCAGAAGAAGTTGATACGCCGTATAGCTCTCAATTTCTTTCTAAATGGAGAAGTCTTGTATAGGAGGACTCCAGATTTGGGTCTTTTAAGATGTGTAGATGCTGCTGAAGTTGTGAGGCTTATTGAACAGATACATGCGGGAATTTGCGGTACACACATGAGTGGGCTTACTTTGGTAAGAAAGGTTCTTCGAGCCGATTATTTCTGGATGATATGGAGAATGACTGTTGCTAATTCGTGCAAAAATGCCACAAATGTCAAGTGCACGGCGATTTGATACGGGTGCCACCTCACGAACTTAACGATATGAGTTCACCTTGGCCATTTGTAGCTTGGGGAATGGATTTCATCGGTCCTATAGAGCCGGCCGCTGCTAATGGACACAGATTCATTTTGGTTTCCATTGATTATTTCATCAAGTGGGTTGAAGCAGCCTCTTACAAGTCGGTAACCAAGAAAGTTGTGGCCGATTTTGTCCGCAACAATCTGATATGTAGATTTGGAGTTCAAGAATCCATCATTACTGATAACCGTGCAAATCTCAACAGTCATTTTATGAGAGAGATATGTGAACAATTTAAGATTATTCATCGAAAGTCAACTACTTATCGCCCTCAAATGAACGGAGCTGTAGAGGCCGCCAACAAGAATATCAAAAAGATCTTGAGAAAAATGATTGACAAACATCGAGGTTGGCACGAAATGTTGCCATACGCTTTACTAGGTTATCGAACGACAGCCAGAACATTGACTGGTACTACTCCATACTTACTAGTATATGGAACCGAGGCAGTCATACCTGTTGAAGTCGAGATAACGTCATTGAGGATCATCAAAGAAGCTGAATTAAGTAACGTGAAATGGGTTAGTAAACGAATTGATCAACTAGCTTTGATTGATGAGAAGAGAATGGTCGCTGTTTGCCAAGGCCAGTTGTATATACAGAGAATGACTCGCGCTTTACACAAAAGAGTAAGAGCCAAAAATTTTGAAGTTGGTCAGTTGGTTCTTAAGCGTATTTTTCCTCATCAAGACGAGTACAAAGGAAAGTTCGCGCCAAATTGACAGGGTCCTTACATGGTTCGTAAAGTATTATCTGGAGGTGCTTTGGTCCTGTCAGAGATGGATGGCACTGTATGGCCCAAACCTATAAACTCAGATGCTGTCAAGAGATACTATGCCTGAAGTTTCATTTTTGCATTTTTCTGCTATTTACTTGTAATCGCTCTGTTTGCTTGTATTTGTTCAATTTGAATTATTATCCCTGTTGTAATAAACTACGTCTGACCTGAATTCTCGAGAACGACATACGTAGGCGGTCTATGTCTGCTTCGATCACCCCATTTACCCCGTTTAATTATTTCTTGGTATCTGAACTACGTTCGACCTGAATTCTCAAGAATGAGATACGTAGGCGCCCTTTGTCAGCCTCGGTCGGTTTCTTTGTAAATATTTTTCTTGTTAATCTTTAAGGGGGACTAAGTTTGACCTAATTCCTGCCTCAACGGGATACGTAGGCGCCACAAGGGTTCGGTCATACCTCCAGTAGGTTCTATTCCCTTTTGCAGTAGAACAAGGACAGAATTTTTGAGATGGACTCAAAAATTCTCCAGAAGAAGCCTTCTCTTCAGCAAGCCAAACTAAAGACATTTTGAGATCTACAACTGGGATAGAATTTTTGAGAAGATCTCAAAAATCCCGCGATCTATTCAGTTACAGTGGAAAGACAAGCAAGACAGTAAACTGGGACAGAAATTTTGAGAATGGCCTCAAAATTTTGTTAGAATCTTCCTTACAAGTCCGGAGTGCCTCTGAAACTCATCAGCGAATGTCAGATTCAAAGGAGCTCGTTAAGCCTGATATGACATGACTTGGCAGTGACTTTTTCAATATATTATTTCTTAAAGATTTTTTTTATTATTTCTCTTAAAAATTTTCCCTTTTATGTTTCATTCATTTTGGCGTAAAATATTTTTTTTATTTATCAAGAGTCGGGAAATCGGGAAATCAACCGGAGATATCAAGACAAGTATCAAACAACTGAAGGAATCGACACAGATCAGTATGTTTTAAAACTGACAATTTTTCTGTGGATGCAGGTTTATAGCTCTGCTTTGAAATCGGCCAAATTCTCCCGATGAATGAATATGGAGAGCTCCCAAAGAGGAGAAAACTATCTCTAAAACCAGTAATTTTACTAGGAGCAAGAGGCAGTTCATATTGTTTGCGTCAGGATGCTTGAGAATGTGGTTTGTTTATTTCAAACCAATCCCAACAATATGGAATTTACGAAAGGTGTCTAGCCAGATTCAAAGGTGAATCAAACAGGAATCTCAACAAAAATTTCATGATTTCCGTAAAGGACTCTATTTCAATTACATATCAAAGCAAATATAATTATTGTCAATCAAGACAATGCGTCACCCCAGAAAAGATAGTTATTTTATTATTATTTTATTATCGATCGAGTCGATATATTATTTGGAGGTCGTCTTGCCGTTATCATCAACACAGACGATATAGATATTCATGCATTACGAACACACTTGTACTAAGTATGAGTATATGCAAGAACACACCAAAGACATGCATGATTAAGAATAGCTCTTTCCTACCAATATGATTATAGAAGGTCAAGTCAATGGACTTTCTATATTGACATTAGGAATGTGAGTGAACTTCCCGATTTAGATTTAGAATGTTTTGCCATGAGAGTAACATGCATCATCATACTTAACATTTTGCACACAACACACAACAACATATATTAATTCCTATAACACATAACGTTGTTCATATTATTCATTTGTATGCTATGTGACATTGGAATCATGGACTTGACATTAAGACTTCCCAAAAATGAGGGCTCGACATATTGGACGTTAATAAAGGAGTCTGCCTTATCAAACACAGAGTCTACTTCATTCATTCATACGTCCTTGATTTCTTTTCATTCATGGGTCAGTGTAAACACCATCTATACGTAGGGTGTAGTTTAAGACAATCATAGGCTTCGTTTTGCGTTGACCAAGAATGGACTTATTTCATTACTTGAATCTAACTTCACCTCTTGATTATCCTATCCTAACACCTTTGGTATAATTCATTTCATTATGTGCATAATTTGAGGTTGTCCTCGTTCATTCATTGGAAACTTTAACTTGAACTGACATAAATCATGTAAGCATCATGAAATCCAATGTCATGAAACTACATACCGGAAAGAGGTGGAATCACCGACAAAAGTCAACGAAAACATGCTAGCGTACATTGGAATTTAACCCCACTAGATCCCTATATTGTTAGTAAATGTTCGATGACTTGGAGATATAAGAAGACCCATACCCGGCATGCTGGACAATCTCATCTCATGAGAGTTACGTGTAAACCTCCGCCCTTCCCGTAAGAAGGCATCACCGCTCATAGCTACTCTCTCGGTGCTCAATATAAAGTTCCATTGCATTCAACTCATACGTCATCTCATCATTAGTATTAAGTGTTTTCATCTCAATACTTTCATTAGAGTATTCATAGACAGTGTTCTCTTCATTAACTTTACACTCTCATAGGTGAGTACGTTTTGGTAACATTTATTGAGGATCATTTGAGATTGCTCTCATTTTTTACATTATCCTCATATCATTTTGTCACTACATTCATCAACATTAGCACATTTGTTCTTCATAATTACTACCCCTTTTTACGTGAATGTTCATTTCATCATCTGCCAATTCACTTGGCCATTTGTGTGTTTCACACTTTTACTTAACTCTTCTTGGGTTTCATCATTTCATAACATAATAATAATTTCATCTTATGCCAATACACTTGATCATTTAGTGTGCTTTACACTCGTACTTAACCCTTCTAGGGTTACATAATTTCATTATATACAACTTAGGTTCACTTATTTTTAAATAAATGCTAGACTTATGGGTCTATACATATAAGTCATGACGCTTCATTCATTGTTCGTTTAAGTGATTCATATCTTCCTAAGATTATGTAGTACAAGACTTATTCTTCTTGTATGTATGCCAAGATCTCGATTTCGATCTAAATAGGCAGCATTATTCTTGAATCTATAATTCATGTATGACTTATATATCAATACGGAATTTGGGCAAGGGAACCCGGTTTCGAATTCCTTGGACAAAACTTACATTTTTTTTCATTTACTTTATTTGATCCATTAGGATAGGGGACCCAAGTTAGAGCCCAAAGCCTTCATTTTATTTTTCCCTTAATATACCTCTTCATTTTTTGCTTAATAAAACTAATTGGATGTGGGATCGAACCCCCACAACGTCATTTACTTTTTATTATTATTACTTCTAATGTCAATCCTATGGCCGGTGGGTTGTGGGTTCGAACCCCTACAACCCCTCATTAACTTCTTTTAATTTTCTCCTTGAATCTTCCTAGGAGGTCGTGGATTTGATTCGCACGCCTCACATTTCTTTTCTTTCATTTTCTTTGACTCTCCCTCACTGCCTAAAGGCCCTAGGTTCGATTTCCACTCCATACATTTCTTTTCTTTCATTTTGTTACTCTCCTTCATTGCCTAGATGTCGCTGGTTAGATTCCCACGCCTCACTTTTTTTTCTTTTACTCTTCCTAAAATTTGATTGAGAGGTGGTGGATTCAAATCCCACTTCTCTCATTTCTTAATTTTTTCTTTTAAGTTACATTTTCTAGCCAATACCATGGTTCGAATTCCCTTCACCACATTTCTTTTTGCTTCTTTATTTTCATGTTTTTTAATATGGTGAGGTCACGGGTTGAATCCTCTATGACCTCACTTGTTTTAATTCATTTTTCTCAACATTGTGAACCCTGTTTGATGACCGAAATCCATCAATAGAAGCTGAAAATTTTCTTTTCATTTTTCAGCATCCATTCATCAAGTTACACCGTAGTTGTTTGGGGAATTTTGTAGTGCATTTAGAACGTTTTAGGTGCGTCTTCATGTATTCGTTTAGCCAAGACATTATCCCTCAAATCCTCCATATTTCAACTCATATGAACATCACATTTACATTAACATGTGTACAAGAAATATAAACAAATATCATGCCATTTCAAGTCGTAAACAATGAACAATAGCCACGACAAAACTCACATACACACATAGTTAAATTTTCGGAGACATCAACATAATTAACATAATTCCCAACATACATATAAACACATAATTATCACGAAAAGACGTTTCATCCCTAGTTTTCTACCAGCAAACATTAACTAACCTATGATTCAATAGGAGTTAGTGACAGG